GTGACATGAATAGTACACAGCAAACTATTAGAGCTGAAATAAAGAATAGGGAAAAAGGAAGCAGGGTGTTCACACATCTGCACTGAATGCCAGTCAGGCCACTGCAGGAACAGGGTCCGTCAGTGTTTATCGTGTTCAGTGGACTGCACGTATTGTACTGCATGTCAGAGAGAACACATGCGAAAAGACAAACAGGGATTGGTCAGGACCGTAGAGAAATACCAGACAAAAAGCATTGAGGAGGACAGGAGGAAAGGCTCTATCAGCCAATCAGGTGACAGGAATTTGTGAAAGGACCTATGGAGGGAAGATGACACACTTTTAACAAGTAGCTTGTAATTAAGGAGGAGGAGATGAGTTTTCTTCAGGAGATATCAAGTTCCTCAAAGCTTGGTGGGGCATTCAGAGTTTGATTTGACACGGTTATAGAAGTTCCCTGTTTAAATTACCAAACTCAGTATAATGGATGTTGACACTTTGCTCTCAGCTAGAAAATAAATAACTATAAGAGTAGTTTTCAAGGCAGTGCACATCTGGAATCTCATTTTCCAGTAGACAAAAACAAGTCCGTCCTTTAAGGATGAAGCTGCAAGACAGCATGGATGTAAAGTTTTAGGATAGTGTGATCTTTCTGTTAAAATTATTTGCAGAAGAGCCTATATGATATGAGAACCCTGAGTGAGATTTTAAGATGTAATAAATGAATATGGCTGATTTCTATCACTGTAAAAAAATGATGCATACCTGTATTGGTCACTTGAAAGCAGACTAGTGTAAACAGGTTACATGGAATGTTTCTGGTACTGTTGGAAACAAAGGGTCCCTGGATTGCTGACGAGTTCTTTGATTGCACAGGATGTTGTGCGCGTGTGCTAGTGTGTGCTAGTGTGTGCGCGTGCGTGCGGCCTCTATTCTCTAACTATAAATCGGCTGCACCTGCTTGTATTGTTGACACTGAAGGTTAAAACAGACTGTGAAGAGATGCTAGTGGACAGACTCTGATCAAATGATCTGTTTTATCTCAAGGCTGCCACTCCTACAGCGGAAACAATGCGTGTTAAATGTGTTGAACAAGTCAGACATGCTGGTATGTCTGCTTCAAATGTAACTGCATTAAGGACAAGTTAAACAGCTGTTTTTTTATATTGGAACTATGTTACCAAGTTGTTGACCAAGGAGTTGTTTCACTTCCTAACAAAAACCAGTCTGCAAATGGTGATAAACAAGTGTATGTTGAAGTACATGGGATCTAATGTTTTGTTTTGTTCACTGCTTCCAATTGTTATCAGGACTCATATATGAACTTTACTGGTATTTGTATCGACTATAACGTTGTGGTGCAGTGAGGACTTCTTCTTGGATGGTTTATTTGAAAACATGATCATGCTATTAAATCAGTAATTAAATAATTGTTAGCAGTAGCCTTAATCCTGGTGTTACACAGTTTACAGGTTAAACAGTTGGATACATGTACGGCAAAATCCAGGCAGACATCTGATATAAGTACTAAAGCCCCATAACACAGTATAAGCAATATGTAGAATATGCACTGGATGAATCTGCCTGTCTGGTCCTCCATTTCAAACTGTTTCAAACAATAACACCTCAAAACAGCAGCGGCTCAAAAACATCTGTCTGACGTGTCATGATACCATAAAGCACACTCCCTCAAACTCAACACTTCCCTCCCTTGACTCACAAACGGCTCAGAAATGAAATGCTCTCTCTGTTAACATGATCTTAGGTCAGAGTGTTGATAATAAATTAACTGGAAAAGGTTACTAAGGGTGACTGCTGATGGCAAATCTTGATAATAAGACCACATTTGACCTCATCATTCACATAATATCACATATGGCCGGGTGGTGCGGTAATATCCCGTGACAGAGTCCCTCGTATCAAACATCCGGAGGTTTAGGAACATGACTTCATGCAAAAATGTGAAATCATGAGCCACAGGGATGACTTCACGTTTGGAAGCATGCTCGTATTATTGAAAAGGACCTTATCCATGGTTTATTGCACACAGACTGAATCTTCTGAAAGAGTTTCTATAAAACAAAATGTCAGCCTATTAATGTCATCTGCTATAGTTTATGACATTCCTGATGTTTGTATACAAGCAGCCTTTCTGCAATGATAACCATAACAAAGTAATTCATTAATTAATCCAACTGCTATGTCTACTAAAGCTGCAAAATTATCCATATTTGTTTTTCTCATGTATAAAAAAAATCTTACAAGAAAAGCCTGTATTTTATATGCCAATAGTTGAATGAGGTTATACTGGAAGAGGGTGTTGTATCAGTGGAGCAATATGCTGCAAAATGCTTGCTTATCATGCTTAATGCTTGATCATTATGCTCCAATAGCTCCCCTTTTAATGAGGAATTTCTATATTGATATGTCCAAAATAATTTGTCACAACAAGCAAGCCGTGCAGAAACTAATACTGATAGGGGTGGCTCGATCTATGTATTTTAAAAAGTATGTTCATCTAAATTTTTAACGTATTTCCATATGGGGAAAGATCAACATCAATGCACTCCCTTCTTCTTCCATTAACTGCTCAGTCACCACAAACCCATCACCTTCTCTTCTTGTCAAAGCAGAGATTAACTGTCAAAATGCACTTTAGAGCTTCCCCCAGTGCCCCACTTTATATTTGTTTCACATAGCAACACAACTGATACACATTCATACACCTGGCCACCATACACAAGGCTCAGCGTCCACAAATGCTGAGAAAAAATGATTCATTTGTTCTCTTTTCAGTGTTAATACCGAAGATTTGATCAGCCAGATAAAAGCTTATCTTAAAAAAATAGAACGTGCCGAGCTGCAGGAAAATCCTGAGTGACACCCAAACACATCTAGGCCAATATCTTTCAGTAAGGCTCTATGCAGTATAATTGAGATATTATCCAGGTAGGCTTAATATGTTTCAGAATGACCTACTACCTGCTTATCAGCTTCAATACTTGAAGTAGTAGTACAATATAGTGAATCAATTGATCCTTTAAGTGATTAATTCAGTTTAGGACATGAAGTACCCAGCATGTAACACTTATTTATCACATCTATAAGCAGCCTGTAATGCAATAAGCATACTCGTAAATTAGACTGCTGTTTGACACATGAGAACGTCTTAACAATGGTACGTGAATTTGGACCAAAACATTAATTTGATAATTAAAACACCGTCATGGTCCTTTAAGAAGGGGGTGCCAACATTGCAGAGCTGAGCATGTCATTTAAGCTACAACCAACATAATTGCATATATATTTCAATGAGGTTTTGAATGTACTACGCAGCCCATATAGTTTATGGTAGCCTTTGTTAATTGCCCTGAGCGTGTGCTGATAACACAGTGACATAGTGCATGCCTTACTTCACTACTCACCACATCTTTCCCTGCTCCCCGGCTCTCCTGGTGCTCCATGTTACAGAGTTTTCTCTTGTTTGTATGTTCTGTCCTCTTCATCCCTTACTGAAATGTAAATATACTCCTTGTGTGTGTTGGGTGGCTTTGCCCTGGTTGACAGCCCGTGTTGTGTTGTGTTGTGTGTCCTCTCGATAACGTCAGCCAGTTAGCAGGCTAGCAACGTGTCAGCGCGGCTGCGGTCGACTTCAGTGACACCTCGCTGCCAAGATGAACTTCATCTCTCGATGATGCAGTTTGTTGAGTTATGAGTCCACCCAAGATGAGTTTGTTCCAGCCAGCCAGCCATTCCTGGTCAGTAGCCAGTCCTGCGGCTGAGGCTAGCTAACTAAGGAGCCTACTTGCACTTTTGGTGCCGAGTGCACATCTGGAAAATCCGTTATGACAAGCTGTCAATCAACCTTGCAGCTACTTTATCCTTGAGGACCGTAAAAATGACAGTTTATGTTCGTTCACAAGGACAGTTTATAATTAGCGGTGTAAAAAATATCCATGCTGGGCTGTCGTCTCCGGCAACAGTTTTGTCCAACACAACTTGTTAGTTAGTTAGTTAGTGAGTTAGTTAGTTAGTTAGCAGGGGCTGTTGCTAAACTAGCTTCCTGCTGCGTGACTAGCAGAGCGGCTAGCCCGGCTGCCTGCTAACGTTTACCTGCACAGAGACACCGGGAAACCCATGACAGGTCCGTCTGCACTCCTAACGGACGGGGCAATGGAGGATTTCCACCAGGGTCGTGTGCGTTGTATCCGTCTAGACGGTTTATCCGACAGTGAATGTCATTTTCAGATATTGTTCCATCATCAGATAACAACAAATGCTAAGCTGAGTAGACTACGGGTCGAGCTCTGTGTTGAACTGCAGCCGCGGCACCGCACTGTTCAGGTTGTTTCCTGACTCTGACACGTTCAATGCGGTGTCAAGCTAGCTAGAAAGAGATCAACTTCCGGTTACAATTTTACCAACATAAAAGCATAAATAATTATAAATATTAAAAAAAAAAACTGTTGCGTTAAAATATGATGTACTTCTAGGTGCCCTATGGAGCGTTGTTGCTACAGTTTATTGCAAAAAAACTATTTTATTCTTACAAACACATGTAATTGTTATTTTTAACAATATCCCTGATGCCATGATAACCCAGACTTAAGTGTGATTTGAAATAATGTATAGCAAGATATATTATTTCACACCGACATTTTTAATCTACAGTTTACAGCACATTATATCCATTTATATATCAACATTCTAGTATGGGATGTGGTGTACAAGGTCTTTCTTTACCTGTTGACAAAGCAGTTTTTTTATATAAAATGTCCACAAACTCCTCACATTTTAGGATTTAGCGTCAAATAAATACACATAGAATCCATTTTATTAAAGTTAATCAGATCTATTTCGTTTAATATTAAATGTCTGTTCGTGTCTTCAATTTGCGTGTGTGTGTGCGTTTGTTGGGCTCTGCTGCCACCTGCTGAAATAACTGCTGTGTATTTCAGCCATATTAACTTTTTATATGATTATTTGCAATTTTACGAAGACCTCAGTTTTATTTGTATACAGAACACAATATTGTGTGGACTTCCACATATTTAAAATAAAATGTCACAAATGTCTAATAGACTAAAGACTATACTTATGCTGCTTTGTGCTTGAGGGTCTGTATTATTCAAGAGAAACAAAACAAAAGAAACAAGATAATTGTTTCAGAAAACAAACAAGACAAATGTTGTTTTCCCCTTTTTATTAAAAAGGTTATTCTTTTTTTTTAACCCGAAAAACACTTTTAAGAAAAGAAACATGCATGAAAATACAGATGGTCTTTGTCGAACAATGACAAAACAGCTTGCATTGATGTTCGCACTCCCTTTAATATGTACATACATGAGATGTAGTTCCTCAAACCACATAGACACTGAATTTGACCTTCTGTTGGGAATTTCATAAAAAATTGCTATACTGTACGTAATTCATTTAAACCCTGATTTGACAACATACAAGTTGTTGACTTTGGTTTATAATATTGCTTCATAAATATCTCATTACAGCACTCTTTTATGTTGTGACTTTGCATTGTTTCCACACCGTTTATAAAACTCTGATTCATGTTACTTTAAAAATTGGTGGGCCATTTGTTTTTTATTGTCATAAAACTGGAGATTTTCATGATATCTTTTTAGTTTTTTTAACAACTCAGCTTCAAAGCGAAAACAGATGACATGGCACTTTAATATCCAGGGCTAAAACATCAACAAAAAGCAACAACAAAGGTTATTATTGCACAGTAACCCAAAAAATTGCATATTTCAGTAAAAGTATCAGAGGGCAGTGAAGCCACAGTTCATGCACAAAAAGAAACAGCTAACCTTTTATACAGAGGAATTAAGAAAAATAATAATAATAAGGAGTCAGTGTAAAACAACCAATTTCATAAAATATTACTTGCACAGTGAGCGTAACAAATCCTCAGAAGTCTTGAAGGAGGTAACAGACTTGAAGTTTGTGGATTGTTTTTTTGTTGTTAATTGATTGTCGTCTCGAGGGAAATTCAAACAAAGAGATGCACAAATTTAGCAAAAATAAGAAAAGAAACACCAAAATTATGTATTTAATTAAAAAGAAAAAAGTGTGGTCCATTTTTCTGGTTACAAAAATGAAATGTCATCTCTTTTGGACCGTCATTTATTTTATCCGTAACTAAAGGCATCAAACAAACCGATGAGCAGCCCGATGAGCAGCTCGATGACACCCTGGTACATTTGCTTGTTTTTATTAACACTGGTTATTAAGATGCTTCACAATACAGCAGCTTCATCAGAAGGCTTTCACTGCAAGAAAAACTGGGTTGGACCCAAATGCGTTTTAATTATCTGAAGAGAACAGATTCCATATTCAACAGTAATACTCTGGAGTTTGAATACGATGAGCAAAACATCTGAAATTGGTGTTTTTTTGTGAGTAAATGCATGAGAACACCATCTACCAGCTATTTGACCAAACTATCTACTGGTAGTTCTACATTATTTTCCATTTGTTATCAGTAGTTGGCCATTTTATGACAATTTTTGTACAATTAGAACAGAACAAAAATATTATTACCGTACCGTCAGAGAGTATGGCTTTGATTCCACAAGCTGCTCAAACCACATGCAACTATTCTACACACTAACTACAACACGAGCCCGACAGAGGCAAAGTGGAAGCACTTTGCTGTTTGGTTTCGGGCTTTTTAAAAGCCCCTTTCCTGCTGGCATCATGTGGATTTTTGTTTCTTGAATCCCTGCTGAAGTACGTGGCTGGAGTTGGCTTCTGATTGGGAGCTTCTGATTTATGACTTACTAAAGAATGTTCTGTGTATGTGATTGTTATGATTGTCAAACATTACATTTTAGGGAAAAATGTATAAAAACCTTTTTTCACATGAATGTACCTATTCTTGATTGTTTCTGAGAGCTTAATCACTGTTTTAAATGTGGTTTAAAATGTGATCAACATTGATGTTATCTGTGAAAATGAGCCTAATCAGAAGCCATGAATAATAAACCAACTCCAGCCAAACTGGTCTCATATAAACAAATCAAAACACTTCAGTCATTTCCTCACCAATAAAAATACAATCATTCACCAACGATCATGAACCAGCAGTAATCTACTGACACACTCAGAGAGATGTCACTCAACTGAAATGTTTCTCCAACCAATGAGAGAGACAGGATTTCCAGCATTTTTCTGATTGAACAATGAGAAAATGATGAGGAGCTCCGGGGCTGATTCACTACAAGAAGGCTGCCTGCGGGGGGCGCTGGTGGACAGCAGAGGAGGAAGAGGAGGAGGAGGAAGTCTCAGGCCTCATGACACCCCAACCAGGAGAGAAGGCAAGCTCACAGAAGCCTCCTGTTTTCTCACCTGAAACACAAAGGATCAGTGTAAAGGTATTTTTTGTATGACTTTTTAGAGTCTGGCAAGAAGAATATTTTATAAAACGTCCCATTAATTATTCATTAGTAGGCTAACCTTAAAGGTGGGGTAGGTAATTTTGGAGAAACCAGCTCCAGTGCGCTAGAATTTGAAAATACACGACCGGAGAAAATCTGCCACTTCCTTACAGAGCCCCTCCTCCAACACACATGAACGCGCACATGACCAATGAGGGGCACGAGATAAGTTTGTGCACAGATGGAAGGCTGACAGGCAGGTAGGCCATCCAGTTATTTTAGCCGGGGCGGCTAAAATGATTGGTCGTGCTTTTTACAGTACTGCGGCTTCCACAGATGACATGATTTTTGTATGGATTTTTTGTCAAAGCACTTAAGATATTCATTGCTATCGGGATGTTAAGAGCATTCCATGGAATATAACAAAAAGAGTATCTCGAGCCGGTTTCTCAAACTTACCTACCCCACCTTTAATGTATTTCAAATAAATAATGTTTAGTATAAATCAAATATGCATTAGGGTCAAGGTTAGGAAACAACCCCCCCCCCCATTGTATTACATTTAATTCAAGGGTTTTCATCCAAAAGCATCATCATCATGTTATTGGGACAGTGAACAGAACACAGTAACACCAGGAAGCCATACCTTTACAAGGCCATTGGTGTGAGGAAGAGGAGAAAGTAGGGCAAGAATTGGGGACAGAGGAGAAGGAGGGGGAAAAGGAGAAGGAGGAGGCGTAGAAAGAGGAAGATAAGGGGGAGGAAGAGGCACGGCGAAGGGAGGAAATCCTGAGCTCATTCTTCTGAGGAGACTCAGCAGGAGTCAGAAGGAAGAGAAAGAGCAGGAGGGCGGTGAGAGGGCGTTACAGGAGGGATTTTCACTTGAACTTATCCACTTGTGATTATCTCAGTTATTTCCACCTGTTAGAACTAAACGTTTATTACAATGAATTGACATGAGGAAACTCACCTGTAAGTTTGTCTTTGCTTTTCGCAACACGTCATGTGTTCTCTGCACTGTAAAATAGACACAAAGAGCAACTGTAAGTCATCACTTGTACATTTGTAAGTCAAACTTTATGATTTCAAATTGGCAGAAACACCCAACACAGGTTTAGTGAATCCCACAGCTGCTCTGGGACTGCAAGATGAAGAAACAAGAACAAAGACGCAGGAGGGAAAAGGACAGGGCTAGATTAAGAAGACACTGAAAAAGACTCAAATGCTAACGAAACATAATTGTTGTATCTTTTAAAAACATTGTTTTGCTTTATTATTGGATCAAGCATTTAAGGATCTGCTGTGAATAAGAGATCTAACAGCTCTGTACGATTACAAAATTACATTTAAAAATACCATCAAAGTACAATTCCAGGTTTATTCATTTGTTTTATCTATTACAAAGATTAACAATATGCTTTATTGTTTTATACTATCTGCTAGAAAGAGTGAGGACATGAGTGACTCACGTTGGTTGACTATAAAGTGCTCCATGCTATCTTTGGTGAGGTCGGAGCTCTTCACTCTCCCCACGGCGTCCTTGAGAGCCTGCTCCTGATCTGAGAGCTTCAGACGGAGAGAGGCCACCTCCTCCCTCAGAGACTGATCCTGTAAACACACACACACACACACACACACACACACACACACACACACACACACACACACACACACACACACACACACACACACACACACACACACACACACACACACACACACACACAGTGTTACGTGACTGTCCACATATTCTGGTACATCAAATCAAGTCCATATATCTTTTCAGAAAGCTATCTAGTTTATGAACTCGTTCTATATTCCTATATTATAAAATGAAGTAAATGCATTTTCCAAATAATTTTTTGTTCACTATTCATAAAAAAACAGTGTTAGTCAACCATTACTATCTTGAGTAACCGGGTCATGGACATCGTTTTTGAATTATTCAAAATATATTTGATGGGCTTTGAGCAGAACAGTGCCATCTGTTTCCATTACATCCGGGATGGGACAAACATGTCTACGGCTGATATCTATAACACTCGCCAACTCACACCTAAGCGATCCACATCTCTTGAAGTCACCAGTGGTTTAGCTTTTAGCTCCTATAACAACACCCTACTGCATTGCAATATCAGGAAGTGTTTTTCTACAAATAACATGATGAATAAATGAACAACTCTGTGAGTTCACTGGCAGGAGATAAAAGGGATCAAAGAAGTATTTGGAAACTACTCTGCTCTCCACTCTTTTAGATTTTTCACAAGAAGGTGTTTGTTCCGACCTGTTTGGTTTCCTGCTGGTTCGGCAGCGCTGCTCTCCAGAACATCATCAGCAGAGAGTCGGCCTCATCCAGGATCTGCCGGAGGGTTTTAGTGTCAGACAGCATCTTCCTGACAGAGCCTGAGTCTGAAGGCTGAGACACACACACACCACAAGATGTTAATAACAAGTCTAGGACTACAGTCATTTCTCAGCCTTTTTTGGTGGATATATTTAAAAATATATAGTCTAGAAACACAGAAAATGGTTCAAGTGGAAATGTTATTGTCATGACTTATTGCCATCTCAACCATTGGCCAAACAGTCTAGTCTACAGCCTTTTAGAAGCCTCAATAATCATACAATAAAATATATTGTGTATATGAATAAACAAATTAGTATGTATATATTAATCTATAGTTTTTGCCTCCTGTCTCTCTCACCTGAAGTAGGCTGAACTCCTGGGGAGTGCTCCGGGAATAAAGAACCGTCTCCATCTTGCGGAGGAGAGCGCTGCCCTCCAGGATCTGCTGTTTAAGAGCCTTGAAGTCATCAACATGGCCCACTGCATGGCGGCCATGACAGTGTGCGAATGATCCATCGGGGGCTTGGCCCTGCAGGGTTGAGGCTGCAGGGAGGAAAAAACAGAGAATTAGGAATAGGGGCAGGAGGGAGACTTTCATTAGTCAAATTAATTGTTGAGAGTTTCTCACCTTGATCAGCTGATCCACTTTCTGCTGAATGTCTCTGCGCAGAACGTAAAGGAGAGGCTGGGCTGTCAAGTCCAGTGTCTCTCACAGGAGGAGAGGGAACATTTTCTGTGAAGGAAGATTTCCATCAGTACTGTCTGCTTATTTATACAGTACACCTTTCTCAGCTGCTGAACTCCAGATTAACTTCACGAGGCCATGTTATATGACAATAGTCTACAAAGGCTTAAATCCCAAAGTTCCCATACTGCCTGAACTGCCCCAATTGGACTCCTTTGTTTACTTCCATAATGTAGTGACATCACTATGTAACACTCCTGCTTATTTTTGGCTAGCGTTCTGACACATTGTACGTTATAGGCTAAGGGGCGGGACATTTCTGAGCCTCTGACAAATCACAAAAGAGCCGACCAGCTAACCAATCAGAGCAGACTGGGCTCTGGTTTCAGACAGAGGGTGAAAAGAGGTGCTGCAGAACAGGCCGTTTGAGAACAATAAAGAGCTTTTTGAACATTAAAGCAAGGAGACATGTCACAGTAGAGGCACAAAATACAAATATGAACCTGAAAATGACGATAATATGTCCCCTTTAATTCTAGTATTCAGATTTTCTCTTTATCACTTTGAAATACTGGTACTGACCGTTGAAGAGCTGTCTCCTGGATCGAGGCTGTGCGCCAATCTGTATGTGCAGCTGCTGCTCCAGCTGAACATGCAGCTCGTTGGGGTCAAAGGTTGCAGAGCTGTGTCCAAGTTTGGCATTGTCACTGGCCTGACCTGCTTGGAAAACACAGTAACACAGATGAGTTAAGATTATCTTAGGAAATATTTTTAGATATTCTTAGGTGTCGTACAAAAGAACGTCTTACCTGCGGGTGCGTTGGTGATGACCCCACACACTCTGTGGTACACCTGCAGCTCACATTGCAGAGAGTGGACCAGACTGCGGCTCTCACACAGCTGCTGCTGGAGGACGCTCACCTCGTGCTGGAGTCTGAGAAAACACACACACAAGAACATTTGATATGAAGAAACACAGTCACTAGAACATCTATATTTTTGAGAATCCTAATAAACATGTCATTACTTAACACCTTTGCCAAGTTGTAAACTGGTCATCACTCTGCACATGGACACACACCTGTTGATGGCTTCCTGGTTCTTCTGTCTGTCCTGTTTTAGTTGTGCAATCTCTTTGCTGCTAGCTTCGGCTTCGGCTTGCAGCTTCTGGCTTTGCTCCGCCCACTGTTCAGCCTCTAGCTCAACCTCCTTCAAACGCTCCGCCTCCTTGCTGCTCTCTGCAGGGGACAAAGGACATTGCAACATGTTACTAAACAGCTTAGTTCAATACTCAATGCTGATTGGTCAATTTCAAACATTCTGCTCTACTCACTAGCAGACCGCTGCTTAGGATAGCAGAACGGGGCTAAGGAGGACGATTAGATCAGGGGGCTAAGTGCATTCATATCAACCCGCTGAAAGAAGTCCGGTCAATGTAATGTAAAAAAACCTAAATCATCAGTTTTCTCTTTCCGATAACACTGGGAATACTTTTATAATATTCATTTTTAGATTTGTGGAGAGTACGAAACATTGGATTAATGGGGATTTTAAGATAAGTTCCAACCGTTGGTAGGCCTACACAGCGGATCAGACCATTTTTTTCTTAGCGGTATCAATACGATAATTTTAAAAATCATTTTTAAATCAATATTGTGAGCAAAGTTAGAGGTGCTATAAGCTGGATAATGACCGCCCTGTCATCTTTTTCATTAATGACCGCCTCGCTGAACATTATCACTAACGTATCACACTGAACAGAGCCAAAACGTACTCGTTCTAATAACTTCTGTCTGGTTGCAGGCACAACAGCTCTTGATCTGTTAAATAAAACTTGGTGGCTTTCTCCTTTTTTGGGCTGGCTAGTATAGATGTGACAGTACCTCTGGTGGCCTGCTTCAGCTGGTTCTGCAGACTGACGTTCTCCTCCTTCAGAAGTCTCATCTCACTGGAGAGCTGGCCGACAGAGTCCAGGCCCTGGATGTAGATGTTGGTAGGAGCAGCTAGAGGGGACACAGAGAGGATAAGCATGGACTGTAATGTTTACAGAGAAGACATAAGGAGCAGGAAATGGAAATGCTCAAGGAAAGTACATACAAACTGTACTTAAGTAGGCTACAATAAGCCTACTTTAGTACATTTCCTCAGTAACTTTCATCACATGGTAACATGCTAACAAACTACAGTTTTTTAAAAATAGATGTGTATTACATCTCTATACTTAAGAGAATAACTATGTGTGTTACCTTTCTCCGTGTTGGTGCGGGCCAGCCGCTCCTCCAGCTGCTGTCGGAGGCGGTCGTTGGTCTGGATGGAGTCCTCCAGTCTCTGCCTCAGACTCCGGATCTCTCTCAGGTGCTCCTTCATCATCAGGTCTGATCCTACAACACAAACAAAATTAAAATGTAGGAATCACTGCTTTAGTCAAAGTGCACTTCTAGAAATACTTAACTGGCCTTCAAACATGGATAAAGCTAATAAACACAAGTACTATATGACCCGTTACTGTGAAGTATGCAGGAAGTGTTGGACTTTATTGATAGTATCACAAGAAGCAATTGTACTTTATTATTTAAAGAAATCTGTAATTATGTTAAAAAGAAAAGCAGAGTTCTGGGAATAATGTGACTATTGTAACACATATTTAGAGTTGTTAAAAAATACTTTATGCTATATTAACCATGAGTGTGCAACTAACTCCATCCTTACGGTAAGTTGTTTATCTGGTCTTTTTTTATTTGTTGAAAAAATTGCTCTTATCTGAGCCACTATTCCAATATCATTTTTAACTTAATAATTGTAATCTCACACAGTAAATATGTTTTCTTGTCAAATTTGTATTACTATCTTTTTATTTATAGTATGGTGAAACACAAAGAACACATGTTAGTTATTAGAGTTTTCAACTAGTTCAATGTGAGTCATTTTGAAAAGGTTAAACTGAGTATCTACCTGTGTTGCTGGTGCCTGACTGGTACCCTGATGATCCTGAAGAAAGGTCAGCTCCGGGTCTCACCGGACGGGCACCATAGCTCATATCCCACAATGCAGTGCTCTCGAGCAGACTGGCTCCAGCTTGCATTGCTGAGTTGGCATCCAGACTGCTGCTGAAAGGAGAGGGCTGGTATCCGTGGAAGGAGTGAGGCAGGAAGGGGTCCTGCTGCTGGTGGGCGAATGGGAAGCCATGAAGATGTTTGGAAGTGGGAGTGGAAAACCCTGAAGAAGAGGAAAAAGTAACATGAAGTGAATAAGCAAATCTAAATCTCAAATATAATCTAAAATCAGTTATTAAAGAAAAGGAACACTGCAAAAAAACCTGGGAGGGGAACAAAGACACTTGTTAGTAAAGAGAAAGGGCTGGCGAGACACAAAGAGAGCAAAAGGCTGAAAGGGAAATTATTTATTTTGTCACAGTAAAATTAAATCACTATGGTTTGGTGTCTCTAGTCTAAAGGCTCTATACAATCCTAGCAAATCTTTTTCAGGCTAAATGTTTGTATATAGGAACCCATATTGTTAGGAGAAAGACGGTACAGTGTCTTAACACATGCAAAGAAGAAAGGCAAAGAAAATAAAATATGTGTATCTACATGCAGGTATATAGTGATAGTTTGCTCGTTTATACTTTCTGGATGTTGAAACATGTTTGTATTGAGCAGGATCACATGTAACAATAATGAGGTGTTGTTCTACTCCATCATTCGAGGAAAGAACATGAATCCTCCCTTCCATACACTGTTGATCAGTCTCAATTTAATTAAAATTAATGCTACTGTGTAAAGAACTTCTAACTGTGGCGCCTTCCAGTGGTCCTATCTCAAAATGACAGCACATTCTCAGACTCATTCCTTCAAATACAGGCCCATTAGTTAACAATCATATAAAGTTACAACACAATATACAGGAATGATAGGCTATAACTTAAAGTTAGCTACACAGGATCCTCTTTCCATTAAGTTTCTTTTTTTACTGGCATTTTCTGTTTTCTTCTGTCTGTTAAAATGGTGTTAAAACTCTCTGAAAGTTACATTTTTAAAGTGGAAGAGCTATGGAACACATTCGATTTAGTATGTTAGCTTGATAATCTTCATCTTTACAATAAGTGCAGAATAAATGTTAATACTATTCCCCAAACGTGTTTTTTTTTTACCAGTAATTGTTTGAATGTGTGCCCTTTCAATTATCTGTCTGGTTATTGAACCACAATTAGTTTATACTAAATGCAGTGTTTCCCCTATATACAAATAGTGGCGGCGCAGCGCCGCTGCTGAAATATGAGCGCCGCTGCTAGAGGGCGCCAGCCAGGTGAGGTACCCAAAAAAAAAA